AATTCAAGGCCAAAAAAGCCAAGGCAGGAATGACTAAATGAAACCGCCATTTCTCAGTTCCCAGCCCTCCAGCATCCATTACCCTTGAGGTGGTTTGCCTGTCGGTCGGAGTGACTGTGGAGCAGGCCGGGATGCACAGCTGTTCGGTGGCCCCCATACAGAGGTACAGGGCTTACTCTCAGCTACCACCAGCTGAAGTTAGGAGTCTGATCCTACTTGGTTCAGGTTGCTTTGCACAACCTGAAAAATTCTCAAATCCAGAGTGATGTGGTATGAATCCACTTTCAAAGGGGACTAGAGAAGATAATGATATCTGCAAGCTGAGCGTGTCCACATAGGGAACCAGCACTTCTCAGATTCACGAGCTAACTTAATTCCCTAGGTAGGCAAGCCCAAACAGCAAAGAATACATGGCTTTCTTCCCTTTGAACGTGGAGATGTTTGATTTAAATGTTTATGGCTGGTAACTTTATACACATTCTGTGACTCTAATTTTTCAGTTCCATCGTTGCAACCTTCAAATCCTATAATCCAAAACAAGTTCTGTTTTGATAGGACAAGCTCCATCTTTCCTTCTCTGGAGACATAGTTTGACAAGTGAGGTTTTCCTTTTGGTATATTAGCACTTCATATCTGCCTCAGATTTACAAAATGAGCCAAGGCCTCAATCAAAAAAATGAGGCAAAACCATTTACAAGATAACACAAGCCACACAGTTAAAACAAAGATAACCACTTAGGTGTAAGTTTTCTTTTGACAACATTATTAGCTAAATACCTTTTCTCTTCCTTCAGTATATGTTGGCATGAAATCTTTTCCCCAGGGTTTCTGAGTTATATGAGAAAAATGGGATGGGGAAATATCGCAGGGGGGGTTTCACCTACTTTGGCAAAATCTGAAACATCCTGCTACCTGAACCACTACACTGTCCGCAGATTACCAGGTTTCCTTAAGCCTCCATTTTCAAAGCTTTCCCAGGATAGATCAAATCATCAGCTCTTACAATTTAAACAGAGAGATTAATTTCTAAGGGACTGCTGCAACAGCATGGAAGAATGCCAGATTGTTTCATTCTTGAAGCTACTAATATGTTTGCTTTCAGAGGCAATTGATCTTTGTGAGATCCCTCTTCCCCTTAGTTTGACAGAAATCTGTTAATGACGAAGCCCTGAGTGTTCTCTAAATTCTCTAAATGCAATGTGTGGTGAACTTGGAGTCCCAAGCCTGAAGCCACAGTCTTCCCACTGTTTGTTGCTTGGGCTCAATAAACATCACACTGATATATTGAGATGACTCAGCTACGCAGTGTTCACCTGCCAGCACCAACTCACTGGTCTGGACTTGTGAGTTTTTCCAGATAGCAGACAGGCTGAAAGAGCAAAGCCATTTATAGACCTGGTGATTATAATGATGCATGGGAACAAAAATAGATTTATAACAATCATAACATCCAGGACAGCAATACAAATAGTGAGGATAAAAACCAGGGAAAGATAAATACCTGTCTGGAAATATGACTACTACTGAATCAATAAGCTGATGTCCTACCAACAGCATGTCATTACCGATTGAAAGCAATGTGGTATCAGTAACGTTCAGTCTGCCCAGTGAAAGTGGTCCTTTTTCTCCACTTTTACATACTCATACAAATTGCAGTGAACCATTGCTGTTAACTAGAGGGCTGTTTCTTCATCGCTTTTAACTGGTGATTTTTAAAACAAGCTAGTCACATTCCTTTCACATGCAACAGACTACTTAATGCCTACATTCACCACTTTAGATTTGTTAGCAAAGGAAGAAACTGGATATTTCTTTTCTAAGTTTCTTTTCCTAATACATCTTGTAAACTACATTATGGATAATGAATAATTAAAGGGATTTAACTTTTAAAGACCAATGTCAGGCTGTGTCCCTTCCCTGTTATGGCATGTAGTCACAAACGTGGTTCTTTTAAACACTGCTGAGAACAGCTTGGTTGTAGCATGGACAAGTGTTTATTACAGGGTTTACTGCCTTGTCCTATGATTCCATGCTCTGCAAAGCACATCTTAACTAATTCCCAAAGGCAAAGTGGCAACGCTGTAAAGCACTTGTGAAAACATTCAAACTGCAGTTTAAACCTTGTTAAAGCGCAGTTCTTCTCTGAAAAGTGACACTAAAAATGGCAGTGCGGGATCCTGTATTTATTGTCTATTTGTGATTTCCAGATCAAACATGCTAAGTGCAACTATATAGTTCCCTCCTAACATCCCCAGCCAGCTCCACAGACTCTAATGAGATCAGAGAGTTGAAACTTTCATGTTCACGTATCGTTAAGATGACGGTCTCCTTAGCATCTGTCCAAACCTGCTGTCCTCACTGAAACAGATACACCTTGGCCCCCTTCCATTCAGCTGAATGAGCTCAAGGAGGATCTGTTCTCTTCTCACTCACCCCTGTCAGTTTTTTCACTGCTTATGGAAGTAAAGCATCTTTCCAGGCAGGTGAGCAAATCTAACTCTGAACACGGATATACACAAAGCAGATGTGTTGAAGATGCCACTTCTTAACCATAGCCACATTTTCAGCTAAAAGATTTTAATGGCTTTTTAATTTGTTTTCTGGTCTGTTTCACGGCATGAAATACTTCGGTCTCTAGAAATTTCTGATATGAACAATATTCTCTATACACATTAACTTGTTTAAACACAGGCTTATGAGCTACATTTCTCTAGAGAGCCAGCTGTGTATTTATGGCTTGCACCAGCAACGAGAAGACACAGCCCGATCCAAAGCCCATTGAAATTCAGTTACACTGTTCAATTAACCACAGGGAGCTTGCTATAGGTTTGGTGCCAGGGACCTCTGAGTTGGCACTGGCACTTGCTGTTCCCAGTCAGGAGAAGAAACACATTGCCATGTCCAGCGCTTGGCCTCTGAGGGAATAAAGCTAGTTTGGCTTAAATGAATTCTGCTGATGGAGTTACTATAGGATTCTGATTGACACTTAAAGTTGGTCCCTATATGGAGAACACTGTGCGCACGCATCACTGCCCTTGCATGGTCAAAGATGGCCATTTCAAAAATAGTCCTTCCCCCTACCCTACAATGAAAATGTAGAAACGTAGAGGTAGATGTTGTTTATTGGCACTACTGTCCCTCTATCTGGGCAGTACGTTCATAAATCTATCTAAGAATAGATTCTAAAGTACTAAAAGGCTCTGAAAAGATTACAGGAACAGTTACAGCATCCATTCAAGGTGCAATAGTAATTGAGTGGTGACTACTACCCAACAGATGCCAGCAATACTCCCTCAGGTGGTAGGGTTTCTGTGCCAGTTTTCGCATCACCTCTTACAAAGAATTCATCACTAATTCAAGTGTCTTGAATTTTTATCATCCTGACAAGCGTAATCAGTGTGTTTCAATCCTAGGTTACGGTTGATGGGTGTTCAAATGGTTACAGATGTGTAAGGAGGAATGTGTGAGGCTGTCCTTGAAGACGATGGTTTCCTGACTGAGCGTAGCTGAATTTTTGTGAAACAATATGCAGGCTTTTTCCACCTCACTCTTTTGCCAATTCCGCACAGCCTTGTGACTGAAAGGGGCAAAACTGCACAACCCAGAGCCAACGTGGGCCCCAGATTTCAAATGCTCGAGAGCTGGAATATCCAGAGCTGAGGTTTTGGTCTGGCCTGTGAAAAGGGAGAGAAAACCATCTGTGAAAACTGGAGGCACATCTAGGTTTGGCTTCTACCCCAGGATCCCACAGCCTCCCATAACCACTTTCTGAATATCTGCAGGTTGGGAAAATAAATTCTTTCTCCGCACCTCTGCCTGGGAAGCTGTGCTCAGCTCTGCGCCTTGTACACACAGGTTCCCCGGGGCTTCCAGGGAGCCCTCTGAGAAATCCAGGGAGGCAAGACCAGAAGGGTTTAATCATTATGGCTTTACAAAAATGCCCCTTTCTAGCTAAAAGCACCGCATGACAAGAGGGGGAAGGAAGAACAGAGCCCTGAGTGGGGCCTCTCCTCTGGACAAGGGCTTGCTGAAAACACTAAGCCTTCCCTTTTTTCGGACACTGAATGTCACTGGAAAATTACAACCTCATGTGCAAAAGCCCTGTATTGCTCCCACAGGTCTCTCCTCCTCACAAAGCCCCTGGGGGCTGGTGCTGGCCAGCGGGTGGCCCAGGGAGCC